CGCAGAATCCTGGAACCCAGACCCGGCCCAACAGCGAACTCCCCAAACATTGCTTTTGCGATGTTTCTGGCTCGAGCCTTCGGAAGCTGATAAGAGCCGCTGTTCAGAAGTCGCCCAGCCGGGACCTCGTAGGCTTCGGGGCCTCTCTGCCACAGCCACCCTGACAGGGCTAGCTGTCTTTGTGTTCTTCAAGTTGAATGCTATTGCATTCTCCTCCCATGACCGCAAGTAGCACCAGCAGCAGAGGCAGCGGCAGTCGCGGGAGTGTCTTAGTGCTCTCTTCTGGACCTTCTCACCCTAGACCCTGTCCTAGACTATGCACCTTCACTCAACCCAAAGGTTTGCGCCCGTCTGGCTTTCGGGCCTGAGGCGTAGAGGTTCTGACTTGCCCAAGGTTGCGACGCGGTTCAAGATGCAGGAGGCTGTGCCTGATCTCGTGTCACGCCCCCAGAACGACTGGCCGGAATCTGGCATTGCTGAATTGTGCTGTCATCAGCTTGGCTGTTGCATGTTTGCACCGTAGAATTTCGTACCATGCAATGTGGACAAAGAAAATCCTAAGGTGTGGTATCAGTGCACAGGGCCCTTAAGTGCAAACCCGTGAAACCTGCTGGGAGCCAGGAGGTCTAAGGCTCCTGCGGAGTTCCCCGGGTGAAATTGCCTCATCTTGCTGCGTTCCAGAACTTTGCGCCAAACGACACGCTTCGGGTGGAATACCTTCTTAGCTTGCCGCATTCCACGATCTTCCCTCCTAGACATGTCTCTTGTCCTAGTTCCTCAAATAGCTTGCCACGCTCCTTCGATCGGACATGGATGGTGGGCAATGTTCTGCGGTCTGGCAGAAAAAAACGTAAGAATCTCAAGCTGAAAATATCGAGATTGGTGAGCTGTTGTTCTGGCAAGGAAAAATGCTGTTTGGGGTTTAGGTTCGGGGTTTCTTGGGTTTGGAGTTTAGGGTCCAAGAATCTGCGTGCGACACTCAAGAATGCTTGCGTGCGCTTTGCAGACGTTTGCGGCAACTTGGCAATGCGGTCGATTGCTTTCGTGAGCGATCTTGCAATTTACAGACCGACACAACCATAAACCTCCAGCCAGAACCTTGCATGTAAACTCCAACCCTGCCCACGCACATTGCACAGCGTAACCCACTAGGCTTCTTGTCTCTCGTGTTGAGATTCTTTCGTGTCGGGTTTTTCTATGCCAACAAAGCACCTAAACATCGGATTTTCGTTTTCGGGTTCATCCGGGCCTACAGGGGATAGTGTGCCTCCGCTTCTTTCTGTCTGCTCGGCCCCCCTCACCCTTAAACCAAGCCCCCCCTTCTCCCCCTTCCCTTAAACTACAGGTTTAGGGTTTAGGGTTTCGGGTTTAGGTTTTGCCGTCGAGTAGCGCGTAGGCGGAAATATCTTGCTACAGTGGAAATAAAATTCGAGGGCATGGTAGTATGACGATTGGCCGCTGGAGCCCGATAGTGGAGGGCTCTTTTTCTCTGTCGCCAACCCACATGGTCTGAGACGGCCAAACCAGCCAAACCTATTCCTCTCAGGGTTTAGCTGTAAACTAATTCCATGGTTTTCTCCTTTACTTCAAGCTTTGGACAGGCGGCTTGGGGGGGGAGGTGCGAGGCTGCTGTGTGAAAAAGCGTGTTTTTTGTTTACGCATTGTTAAAATAACAAGCAAGATTCCAGAAGCCTGAATCGTGAGATCCTCATGTTAAGGTGGTCTTTTGGGCCTGTTGTAGGGAGGTCACCAGACCCCACCGGAGCCCACAATCGTGGTAGCCAAGGCCTCTACAAGCATCCAACACCTGAAACTGCCGATGCACCAGTACAAGAAGCCGTGCTTGTAAGAAGCAAATGTTGCTTAGGGAAATGTATCTGCTAATCAGGCCTTTCCTCAGCTTCAACGCTGCTGTTTCTCCGCAGATTGACGAGTATTTGGAGCTGCGCCGGCATGTTTCTGACCACTTGCCGCAAAGTTGGGGAGCACCCTCGTACCGCAATCATACCCACCAATGCATGCTGAACCTTGTCCGGGCATCCTCCACGCATGAGTCACAACCACATGGACCTTCGCTCTCATCATCCCGATTTGTTTGCTGGTGCTGGGTGACCAGTATGATGATGGAGATGACAAGACCAAGACGCAGCGAAGCTCATGATGGTCATGTTCGTCTTGGTGGTTGCTTTGTTGGTGTGATTTTCGTTATAGCTGTGTTATTGAATGCTTGTGTTACCAGGTAATGCAAGTCTTGAGAGTGGCATGTTCATGTTCGTTGTTGTTGATGATAGTGGTGGTGATGGTGGTGGTGGTGGTGGTGCACACCAGCACACCAGCACACCAACACACCAGCACACCAGCACACCAGCACACCAGCGAACCAGAAGAACAGCAGAACAGCAGAACAGCACACCAGCACACCAGCTCACCAGCACACCGGCACCGTGGCACATCGGCCAGCAGCATGCCGGCACACCAGCAAACCAGCACACCAGAACACCCGTGCACCGGCGCATGCGACCACCATCGCCACCGCCACGGGCAACAGTCAACAGCAACAAAAAAACACCACATGACTTAAGCCCTAAACCGTGAACCGCAAGCCAAAAACCCAAACCTTGAAACGTCCGGGTGCAAAGAGGGAGGGTTTGACCAGATGAGGTGACCCAAAGGTTTCAGGTTTTGAGACTAAGTCAACCCAGCGAGTTTCTCGCAGCTCTTGACCGCTATTTGCCGCTAATGGCTTTCCCTATGATCCCAAAAGGTCCCCAACAGTTTCCACGTAACACATCGTCTTGTCACTGACCTCGATGTCGTCTTCGTCATGTCATCATCGATAACGTCGTTGTCATCATCGCAGCAATGTGGCAGGTCCAACGAGCATCAACCCTCGGACAAGGCGCTCGTCTCTTCAGTTTAGGTTTGTCGCCTGCAGCAACTTGCTTTTTCGGATTCGGCGGTGTGCTAGGGCTCTGGTGTAGGAGTGGAGGCCTGCGTGCCTTGCTCTAACCTGAAGAGGGAGAGTGCTTGGGAGGATTGCACTTGCTTCTATGCCTTCAATAACCCTCCAAAATTGAAGCTTGAACTTCGGGTCTGTTCCTTGTGGCCCAAATCCACCCCCTGCGTAACGCCTTTGAAGGACCAATCTCTTCGCTCCAAGTGGGTCCTCTGGGCTCGGTGCTCAATTGTGTTAGGGTTTCTGGGCTGAGTTTTGAGCTTGTTTCAAGCTCCTCCGCGCCAGGCAGTATGGAATCTTGTTATCTGAAGGCCTGCATAGCCGCAGCATCTTCTGGGCAGGGTCCTATACCATCAGTTCAACTGTCGGATCACCACACAATAGGCCAAGGCAGGTTTGCTGCCCTGACCGCTACGATCGACTTGTACTCCGACCTGAACTCTTTGTTGCACCCCAAATCCTCTGAATTCTCTGTCCACCAGCATTATCCGATCGGTGGAGTCAAGGAACAGCTGGGCCTCTCTGCAGCGCAGAAAGACAGCTCCCAGTGCGCGGACTAGACCAGCACAGTTCATAATGCCTGCTGATGATATGATGATGGTGATGTATCTCGGTTGTGATGCTGCTGGCTCCGGCGGTGAGGACTGATGGTGCTGTTGCTGCCAAGGCAGCGGCAGTGGTGGCGACGGTGGTGGGCTGATGTTGCTGCCGATGCTATTTGTATTGCTGATGCTCATGCCGCAGAAGGGGAGAAGAAGGGAGAAACTTCTGATGTTGTTGCTGATAGTGCTCATGCTGCCCTGCTGATGCAGCGGCGGCGGCGGCGGCGGCGGCGGCGGCTGCTGCTGCTGCTGCTGCTTGTGTTTTGGTGCTGATGACAATGACGATGGCAATGAAGATGCCAATGACGATGACGATGAATATCGTTGATGACGATGATGATGATGACGATGATGCTGCTCGTGATGATGCTGATAATGATGACGGCGATTGCGATGCTAGCGATGCTGACTTCGATGATTAACACAGTGCCGCCTTTTTCGATGGTGGCTACGACAGTGACGATATCATTTGCAATGAAGGCGCTTGCAATGGCGATGGTAAGGTTTGATGATGGTGCTGACGATGACCATGATGTTCATTATGAGCATGACGATGATGACGATCATGACGATGATGATGACGATGCTGTTGATGCTGATTATGATTACGAAGAAGATGATGATGTTGATGGTAATGATGGGGGAGGATTCAGGGTGAGGATCGGGCTGTTGCAGAAGGTGAGGATGACTTCGACGATGTTTTTTGTTTTTTGGCTACGATAGAGAGTTTTTGGCTGCTGGCTCGGGGGAAGTTTGGGGTATCGCGAATGTGTTTTGCAGGGTTGTGTCTGCTTGACCGGACCTGACAAGACGTGGAACAAGAAGCACGGCCATGGGTGTGCCTGTGTATGTGTATACAAGATGTTCAGGGTGAGGGTGAGTGTTTAGGGCTGCTTGACTCTCCGAGCTCTGGGGAGTAAAGAGCAGCCACGAAAGTAGTATTTCTGCCCGGCATAGATGCTAAACACCCGGAATCACGAAGTGCACCCCGTACTTGTTTCATTCACATTTGGTGAGGTACTCCCAGGCAACGCAGCGCGTGGCTGCTGTCACAACTGCCAAGGAGTTTTGGAGGCCGTGCCCGTGGAGTTGGAGGGAGTGTTTGGGAGGACTTGTTTTATGATTTGTGCAGAGTCGCTATACATGAACCAGTAAGTGCCAGCTGCCCGAAGTCTTGTTGCATGTATCATACTTAGAACTCATTGTGCAACCGAAGGAGTTTGTGATTCTGTCACAGGTTGACAGGGACAGATCTGATGTCCCGCCGTTTGGTTTCAGATTTCAGGCGTTGCTGTTTCACGGCTGTGTGCACAGGTGGCTCTTGTTAGATTAAGTGAACCTGGAAGTCTTCCCATCAAAACCTTGTGTGTAAGAGCTTGACCGATTCTTTTGAGACGTGGCTAGTGATGAGAAGAGCCCGCTTGCCGAGGTATTGGAACCACATGCCCCAGCCGTCCTTGCTGCTGGAGGGCAAGAAGTTCATGAGAGTGAAGGCCCGCTTTGGGAGCCGAAGCCCCAACTCGAACAATGTGTGAACCTAAGCCCAAGCCATGCCCGATGCGATCGGGGTGGTCACACTGATTGCGCTGCAGTCGCACTACCCTACAGCCAACGACCCTGTAAGTTGATTCATTTGTAGGGGTCGCGGTTACGATTTAGAGCACCTTTTGGAGGAAACAGGTTTCCGTCACACGGATACGTGCTGGGCATTGGGTTTTGCAGATCAGGGTTCACTGACTCGTTGCAGATCCTAAGTGCCGACCCCAATCCCTCAACAACATGAGCCCCTGAAGCGCAGAAGCTCACAGCCCTGCATACTCCTCAGACAGGCGAAGGTCCGCATAGCGCTAATACCTCTTCATGCAAAACGAGCGCTGGATGCTTGGGACGGTTTCTCTGCACAAGGGCTCCAAGCCAGGGGACTCCTAGCACTTCAGGGATTCGTATCTGATCTGCGAAAGAAATGACAAACACCCGCGAGTTTTTTTTTATGCAGCAAATTCCCAAAGCTTGGCAGGGTGAGGCGCGCCACGTGGTCGACGCCTGGACCTTGGGGAGTGCCCTGGGCTTCACACCTTCAAATCTCACGTGAGCTGCATGTACAGATGCAGAGTCCTCGTCTTCCTAGGGAAAAGCTTTCTCCACGGTGGAGGCGAACGCACTCATTTCCAACTTTGGTTGTCGGTTCAAGCGTGTGTCCTCCCATCCAGGGTTTGGTTTAAAAGGGGAAGCAGACCCAGAATCTAAGCTTGAACATCCTCCAAATCGCAGCCCTCGATCGGAATACTGACTGACCCAGGCCATCAGCTTTCAGCCGAACCCCACGGACCTTGAGCTGCAAACCCCATAGGCCCTTTTGTGTCCCTTAAGGCCACAACTTTGCTACCTTACCAAAAGGTCGTCGCGCTTGAACCTTCCAGCCCAAAATGCAATCTGCAAAGGTCGAACATCCTGAACTTCGCTGCCCCACATCATCCAGCCCGCCAGATGCCCCAAGCGTTTTGGCCCCTAAACTCTGAACAGCTCATTCAGTATACTCGGGAGCCACGAGGCTTTGATGATCTTCAAGGATGGCATCCGCCCTGAGTGGGAGGTCGACTGGGTTGATGCAATCTTTGGCTGTTTGCTGGGACTGTCTGGGTTTCCTGTAGCATCGAGCCAAATCAGTTCATCAGAAACCGTTTCTTCCCGTTTGCAGGTAAATATACCTTCGTTACCGTGCAGTCCCGTTGACTCCGGTTTTCACCCGTTTCTCCAATCCATTCCATCGGTATTGTCACCTCCACCTCATCCTTACATCGCCATCACCATCGCCACTCGCACCACGATGATGGTATGATGATGACGACTGCCATCATTCGCGTCTCGTTGCTACTGCTGGTTCATATCACTCGTAGTATCCGCTTAGCGCTGTTACTATAAGTTTGTTGCTGTTACTCTGAGCTACTCTTCTTTTTCCTTTCCTGCTCACTGAATTGGTCTTGGCCTTCCTGCGCCGTCTCAGTCTTTCATTGGCTTCGCTGGCTCTGCAACTGTCAATGCTACGACAGCATGATGGGGACTAGGCTCTGATCATTCACTGCTGCGCGTCGTGACGAAAATTCCAGTGCCTCTAACCTCCAAACTTCCCCTTGCTTTATGACTGTATGAGGTGGAGAAGGTGAAGTACTTCTAGTCGGAAGCTTTTACATTTATGAAGTTCTTGTCGATCTGCCAAAGGATGCTGCGAATGCGGCCGGGGGTCACTTCACCTTCCAGTTGAAGGCCTCGAGTGGAAGCCAGAGACGGGTTTGAGAAGCGTGGAAGTTGCTCCAAGCACGGATGCTTCAAACAAGCCCAATGCAGCTGTGTTTCTCCAGCGGGAAGACCTCCAACGTACCAAAACTTTTCGCTGACGGGTGGAATCTGAGTTGCCAGGGCCGATCAAGATGAATCTGGCTTCTTGGGCCGTTCCTGAGTAAAGTGCAGCATGGAGCAATCCTAGTTCACTTTTGTCTGCTTGTAGGCAGCGGCTGCGACGTGGATTGTCGGGCGTCGGTGCCATGCATCTAGAATTGTCTGTCTGTGTGTCTTGCGCTGAGAGCCTTATCTCATGTGGCACAGAAGACCCGCCCGCAGAACTCACGAAAAGCGAAGTGCGGGAGTGGAATCTCGGAGCACAACCGTCAAGCTCGGAAGACCTAAACTCGTCCGCAATGCTGCTAATGCTGTTCATAAGATGATGATGATGATGATGATGATGATGACGATTCTGACTCCGACGAGGAGTGCGATGGTCGTGTCTTGCACTTGTGTAGTAGGCTGTCATCGGCGGCGGGGTGATTGACGAGCATGGGCCCCGGCGCAGACAATTCCCTGAAATCCCAAACACAAGACTTTTAATTGTAGAGTAGCTTCCGAGTCTTAGGTTGCAACTAGTGTAAAGATTAAGTTTGTAACGCCTGTTGGCACAGCTTCCCGTTTCCTTGAAGTCAGAAGTTTAGAGTTCATGCTCGGGTTGAATCATAATGGCCTGGATGGCGTATCTTGGCGCAAAGCACTTTCTGTGCCCCATGTCGTAGTGTAGCCGCTTCGTATTGTCTTCCGCTCTTCAGCTTTCGAAAGTTATCTTGCTTTGTCCCGACTTGCATGCAACAGGTGAGAGCATGTGTTTCGAGGATTGACATCAAGTCCACATGGACACAGTGGATGCTGTTCAGATTGGGGAATGAATAAGCGTTCAAGAGATAATGATAGATACCTGATGCCTAGCCTGTGAGGGTCTTTTACCTGCAGCAGAAAGTGTGAAGTGAACATTCATTAGAACTGCACATCACGGAGCAAGTGTTGACAGCCGACGAAAACCGCAAATCCCGAGCTACCCTGACCAAGCCATACCATTCCAAGTCTCAGGACTTGTAGGATTCCGCCTTGAATCCATGTCGGAGGGTCTGACGAAGAATCTAGTTGCTCTGAGCTTTCCTGCCGGTTGAGCGACTGATGGCTTCTCTGACCTAGCGGTGAGTGTCAGGTGCTGCTCTGATTGCAGGGCTCGAAACCGACATCTGCTTTGCATCGAGACTTAACAGTTCTTGGTAAAGTGCTTTGCCACGCACCTTATCCGGAGATTTTACGACAAGCTACGAGCTGTCAGGTACTGGAACAACATTGTCCTCGGCGTGATTGGGGGCTCGGTTGAGACGCAGACTCAAATCAACGCTTCAGCATATCGAGTGGGCCGCACTGATTCGCTATTCGGGTTGTGGCTTCTATGTGTCCAGGTTCGAAAGGTGTAGGGTTTTGGGTAGGTTGGATTGCTTCTGTGTTGTTTTTGCGTGATTTCTTCACGTTGGTCATGGATTTCCTGGCCAAGCCTTGAGACTTTCGACTTGAATTTCCGCCCTCGAGCTCGTCCGTAGGGCCTCGCTCCGAACTACGTTGCTCCTTCAGTTTCCTACTTTTTTCTGCGCTGACAATGATAAAGAGCTGGAAGAAGGCCACTGACTCAAAACAACTCCCAGGTGCACTCCTACACCTTCATCGTCGCATGCACAGTCAGCATATCCAACAAAGGCTGTAGAGGGAAGCCAGAGAAATCCTCGAAAAGTGGACCACCAAAAGTAGGATTCAGAAAACAGGCCCCTACATCAGGCGGCTAGGTCGCCTGCAAGAGGTTTCAGGAGTCGTTGCAAGATCCGTAAACACGGCTCCACCAAAAGCATCCTGCGACGAGCCTAAGCCCGAAGTGATCGAATATCGAAGACCTTGTGCACCCTTGCTGCTGCTGTCTGAACTTTGCCTTGTTTGCCTGCCGCCTCAGAAGAACAGTCTCCTTGCACAGCATCCACATCCGCCTCTCTTGCAAGCATCAAGCCCCCAATGCCGAACCCTAAATCCAACAATCCAATTTCAGCAACTCCCTAGGCCAGACATCGTGACGGGCTTGCGCCTCGTCGACAAGTTGGGCAACAAGCGGCAGCCCCACCTGAGGATCGAGGCGGGGGGGCGAGGCAATGTAGTTGAAAACATACAGTGTCGGGTAGATAAAAGTTGTTATTACTAAATGCGCGGCTCGGGCCAGGCTCGGTTTCAGCACGTCGGGAAGGGTCTCGAAGTTGTCCAAATTCAAGTTCCTTTCAATGGTTACGTTTTGAATCGCAGTTTACTTCGGACGTTTTAAGCTTTGAGGTTTGGGCTTTGACTGCGGATTCGAGGGGTTTAGGTTGGGCTTTGGATTACTGGCCGCATCGCTCGCAAAAGGGGTACATAGGACTTGTGGAAGGGGCTTTGAGGCTGCCCACGTCTAGGCGAAAGTCGTTGGAATGCTCGGGCCTAGATGTCCTAGATCCCAGCATCCAAGACACGATCCACGGACAGCCCAACCCCAGGACCCCAAATTCTAAATTGGCTGGAGGTGTGGTTCTCTAACGTTGCAGAGACCGAGAAAGTTGACAAGTTGCAGCAAAGCCTCGAGAAGCCCGGAACCCGTGGCTTTGGGACCTCGGTTGAGGATAAAAACCTGAGGAGTCAGTGGATGAGTTGCGGGTTTTAGATTTCAGGAGCATTGAGTTAAACTGAGGCTTCAGGGTTTCGAGTGCAATAGAGTTGGTCAAGCATGTCTGAGGGGCTTGCTGTTGAGATTTTCGGGTTCGGGACTATCGGATGACTTCTTGTTGCGTTACACAACATCTTGTTTAAGCTGCAGTCCGAGTGTCGAAGCGCCTCTACAAGAATTAACGCAAGGAGGGTAGTGGTCCTGTAAAGATTTGGGACGCAGGCTTCGGTGCTACAGTCAGGCTTTTGGCCTAGTGCCATTCAGAAGTGCTAAGCTGTGGGTCTCGTGAGCGTGTGTAACGGATGCCATGCTGTCTTGGATGAAGCCCGAGCTCTGAGGCTTTTCTGTTTGGCTGTAGAAATTTTTACCCACTGCCGCACCAAAGATGCTCCCGAGTGCTTTTGTTCGGATTTCAGGCAACGAGCATTGTTGAAGACTCGAAGCTTCCCAGGTGCATGCTGCTCCGCCTCGACGGCGTGGAGAGACAGCCTGTCCGCAACTTGTGCAGACGGGCCGGGTTCACGTTTTGGGGCCTTCCAGCCGGGAGTTGATTCAATAGAGCATCAAGTTGGTGTGACCCGAAAATTTCAGAGAGTTTTGCTGGTTGGTTCCTCCGGCTTCACTTTTCCCAAGGGATTCAAATCGTAAGGCCTCGCGAACAGTTCTACAGGAAGGAAATGCCTGTGGAGCTAGCCATGCCTGGAAACCAACAACCAAATCACCCTCGACCCTGAAGTCCAAGCGATCTCCCCTCCCAGGCCCTTACGCCCATGCGTATGCCGATTCTGTTGGGTTTTTCCGTACTTGCCCAGGCCTGGGGAAAAGTCGAGCGAACCTCGCATGCGCCGCAGGGCAAGTGAGTCGGACCGGAAATCCCTCTCAGCTGACCCGAAAACTTTGTGTGTGTGTGTGTGTGTTATTGGTCTAGGGTTGGGTATAGGTGCAGCGTCGAGCTGTTCCAGTCTCGAGGGATTCATCGTCCTCAAGGTTCAAAGGGCTTAGGGTTTCGGGCTTCACTCTGGGGCTTGGTGGCTCCGGAAAGTCTAGGACTAAACGGCGAAGGGTGTCGTGTAAGGTAGGGTGACGTGCAGAATGTGCTGCTCCTATGGCGCAGCCACATACTCTTGCCTGAGCCAGTCCGTGGAGCCATTCGGTTGCATTTCAAAGGAAAGGCATCGCATGCTTTCTCGAAGGGTTTTTTTGATTAGCTGCAGGCTTAGCCCCGCACCGAGACCGGGCAGTCGAAGTAACTTCAGCGACATAAAGTATAAGGACATGGCAGACGGCAAGATTGAAAAAGAGGGAGATCCTGGCCACGAGAAGCACGCCAGCATTGCGGCTGTCTGTGTAGGAGGTGCTTGTGCACCGGACAGGACGCGAGCAAGAGCTGGACAGCGTGCAGCTTCGGCCCTGTGCGGATTTCCAAAAAAGATTTATAGATACATATACAGACACACGTACATACACAAATGCGGAATACGCGTTACACATCCATCTACCATCCAGCAAATTACTTGGCTAGCTGGCTAGCTAGCTACTTGATTGATTGTCTATGTATTTATCTATCCATCCATCATCCAGCTATCCATCTAGGTAGGTAGCTAGCTATCTCTTTCTGTCTGTCTTTCTATCAATCGATCTATCCAACTATCTATCTGGTTATCTATCTATCTATCTATCTAGCTATCTAGCTATCTAGCTATCTAGCTATCTAGCTATCTAGCTAGCTAGCCATCTATCTAGCTAGCTGCTAGCTAGCTAGCTATCTGGCTATCTAGGTCTCTGGCTTTCTGGCTATCTATCTATCTCATCGACCAGGCTAATGTGTCTATCTATTTATGTATCTATCTATTGCAAAACGAGTCAAATCGCTTCAGCATGCGCGCAGCAACCTTTTGCAGCCCGCATTGCTCGCAGGTCACGGCTTGAGCCGAAACAAACAAGCACACGACTTGCCAACTAACAAGAAAAACCTACAGCAGCTACCCGGCGCTATGATGCGACGGGGCTACAGGGAACTATACAGGAGGTCCTACTTTTCCAGTCGCCCCCATCCCTGCTGCCAAAACAGCAGCTTCATCGCGACATGGTAGCTGGCACACCACGCAGCCGCACTCCAAGGAGGCGTCGCGGCCGTAACAGGCAGACGATCGCCGATCGCGACCAGCCGGTCACTGGCTTACGTGCCAGGCGACGCACTGCGGGCTCACTGGGACCTCGCACTCGAGGTCCGGCCGACGTCCAAGATAATGCTTGATGCCACCACGACATCAGCCAACTCGCCGATTGCCTTCGCCTGTTCATCCTCCTTGGGCATAGCTACCCAGAAAGACCATTCCTGGTTGGCGTTGGAGCTTGTAGTGTAATTCGAACTTCCGGTCGAAAGCTCCAAGCGCTCGCCTTTCCAAAGGAGTAGCCCTTTGACGTGGCGCACATCTTTCTTCGGCCAGCCTTGTCGTACTCTTCCGAGATCGGTTTATGGCCACTAACAGGACTTTGATGCCGAGAGCCGCGGCTTGCAGGGCAACGCTGCTGCTCTGCCGACCCTTGGAACGTCTGCTTCTGAGAAAGCTTCTGTGATCTCTCTCCTGTGAAAGGAAAACGCAATGAGCCACAAGGTGTCCCCAGCTCTTGCTTCTTCGCACAGCTTGAAACACCGTCCCTGCATGGAGGTGGCCGAGGGGAGCCACCACCTGCCTGCGCCCAGCTGACGAGGCTCGCAGCTTGCCGTTTGATGCCTTAGGGCCCGGGCCTCATCTTGGAGCCTGTTCGCTTCCTCCTCTCGGTTCCGGTGCTCACGCAAGTTGGCCTGCATGCTCTTGGCTTTGCATCGTCGGAACATTTGCGCGTGGAGCGGGACCCTGACCGAAGGTAAGGGAAAACGTTGCCTTCTGGACCGGAGGGCAAGGAGCGCTCGTACTTCCGCTGTCTTTGACAGCGTGCTCCAGCGTCCGCTCTTCTTTTTCAACCGCCTGCCTAACATCTTCCAACGGCAGGGGAGCCTCTGCTGCAGGCGGAACTTCTGCAACGGTCGCTTGGCGGCCTGTCCTCCGGGCCCTGGCGAGGGAACCCTGCCGACGCCTAGCTCCGCCAACGGAGCTCGCTCGGCTCGCTCTTTGCGGGGACCCGTCATCGAGCCGACGCGCCACCTGACTGTTTTTGCATGTGCATGGAGCGCGGGCCCGCACTTTTTTTTTTTTCCTACCGTTGGCGGTCCCCGGCGGCCCTTGGTAACGTTGGCGGTAAGCCTGGGCAGCCCCAAGCAAGCCTGGGTCGTTTATCTATATGACATACAGCCCACAAGCACAGGTATGCAGAAGTGGCGGGGGGGAGCGCGCACATGAACTAGATGTCGC